TTTTTTTTTTTATTCAGTGGCGGAACGGGCTTCCATACAGATCAGTGCAGCCTTCGTTCCCCCCCAAAAAAACAAGAAATACAAAACCTGTGCTAATCGAAAGAAAAGTTGGCAAAAAATGCTGTAATATAGCATAAGAAATTTATTAGCAGGCCAGTAATTTTTATTTTTTTTTATCACAAGTGTAACAAAGTGGGGGTTTTATTCGCATCATATCACAAATTGTGCAGCATGACAGAAAATTTAGTTTTGTTCATGTTACATTATTTATATCCATATACATTGATATAATTTGAAAGAAAACATCTTTGAAACAACTATAAAAATGTAAACAATTTGTACAAAGTCTGAAAAAAGATGGTATTGGAGCAATGACCGATATGATTTTTGCAGTTTGTTGCAACTTTTCTTTCTTTTTTTTAAATGACTGAATTTTTCAGTCCAAATTTAGTTCTTTTCTGATACTACAGGACATTACTGACACCTGACCAGTGTTATTTTAGTATAATTGAGATACTAATATAGCTTTTATTAATGTTTTGAATTAGATGTTTTTTATATTAATTTTGATTAAATTTTGATTTTAAATAAGAATTTAATCAATCTTTTTACGATTTAGATTAATTTTGTTTTTGAATTGGATTAAGTTTCAGTATTTGTGTAATGCGTTCATATAGTTTCATTAATTTACTTGGTTTAATTATTTTAGTATATTAAATTAAATGAAAATGTTTTAGCTGATTTAATAACTTAATATATTTTTTCTATTTTGTTTCAGTTGTAAAAGTTTTTTTTTTTTTCATATAGTTTCATTAATTTACTTGGTTGAATTATTTTAGTATATTAAATTAAATAAATGTTTTAGCTGATTTAATAACTTTAATATATTTTTTCTATTTTGTTTCAGTTGTAAAAGTTTTTTTTTTTTTTTTTTTTCAATTAACTGTTTTAGATAACTGTAATAATACAGCATCTGACCTTATGTTTACGTGATGAAGCCACTCAATGATATTTTAACAGCACATAAAACTGCTGTTGTAGAGGCAGGTTTGATTTCTGCTGAACCTCATATTATCCTCATGATCTGATTGTGTTGTTGTGTGTGTGTGTGTGTGTGTGTGTAGGTGGGAACTCACATCCGCGCCAAGAGAAAGAGAGAAGAGCTCAGCAACATTCTGGCCGCGATGAGGAAAGCTGCTGCCAAGAAGGAGTAGCCTGTGTAATGACAAATAAATTTGTGTAAAAACAAGCTTTGGACTCTTGAGCCTCATTGAAACCTGAGTAGCTGATGTTTGCAGGAAGGCACTGGCGTGTGTTTAACCAGTTCACAGAGTAAATATGATCAGTGTCATCTGTCACGGAAATGAACCCAAGCGTCTGCTATTATGCACTGCAAATGCATGATGAAATTGCAACTAAGTAATGTTTGAAATGCTGGTTTTCAACATTATCACACATCAAATGTTCATCGTGCAAGAAAACACATTTGTGTGCGTGTATAAACCTTTTGTGTTTCAATCAAATGAGTCAGAAAGATGTTAATTGTTGTAGCGAATCAGCTCATGGGGAAATATGAATAATTAATCATAACTAGTTATAATTAATTATAAATATTTAGACATGTACAGAATAATGTAGAACACAATATATTAATGGGAATAATAAAAACATCAATAAGACACTTAGGCCTGGTTTCACAGACAAAGCTTAGACTAAGCCAGGATTAGGCCATAGTTCAATTAGGACATTTAAGTAATTTTTTATAAATGTTCCTTAGAAAAAACATTGCTGGTGTTCATCTTGAGAAAAAACAAATGCACTGATAAGTCCGTGCAAGTTTCTTTCAGTTGAAACTTATATTTTAGTCTGGGACTAGGCTTAAGCATTGTCTGTGAAACCTGGGGTAAAATGATTATAGATCGGTGGGAAAAACTATACAAGGTTATTTCCGCCATGGGATTTTACAAAAATGTAATTGCGACTTTTTTTTCTCAATTTCTGAGTTTATATTTCAAAATTCGGACTTTTTAATACGTCAAAACATGCAAACGCAAATTTGTGTATAAACTGGCAATTCTGAGAAGAAACGTCAGCATTGTGATATGTAAACTTGCATTCGCAAGAAAAAAAAATGTTGCAATGTTATTTGTTATAAATAAGCTTTCCATTGATGTATGGTTTGTTATGATAGGACAATATTTGGTCGAGATACAACTATTTGAAAATCTGGAATCTGAGGGTGCAAAAAAATCTAAATATTGAGAAAATCATCTTTAAAGTTATCCAAATGAAGTTCTTAGCAATGCATATTACTAATCAAATTAAGTTTTGATATATTTACGGTAGGAGATTTACAAAATATCTTCATGGAACATGATCTTTACTTAATATCCTAATGATTTTTGGCATAAAAGAAAAATGTATAATTTTGACCCATACAATGTATTGTTGGCTATTGCTACAAATATACCCCAGCGACTTAAGACTGCTTTTGTGCTCCAGGGTCACATAAATTTAGTAATGTTTATATACCTATTTTTTATCTAATGATTTTATTTTTTGATATGTAAATTAACGATCCTATTCAGATCACATATATTTCTGCTGAGTAAACATCCACTCAAGCCGTTTCATAATATATATATATATATTTATTGTAAATGATTTGAGAGAATACAATTAAGGCAGTTATTTACAAATATGACACTCGAGATTAAACTAAACATGATGTGAATATAAAACCTTCACTGGAGGCAGCGTAGCAGCAATCTCGGGATCCCAGAGTCTCGAAGGTTTCAGGAATGTTGACGACTTTCTGATCCACGTCCCACGAATCAAGAGGCAACGATGCGTGGCATTTTAGGTGCTACTTCTGTGGGATAAAAACTCACAAGAACAGAAGGGATTAACCTGGTTCTGTGTGCTCCTGATTTCCTGACGCGGAGGACTCAGAATCGCGGCGTACCGAAAGATAAAACAGCACTACGCATTATTGTCCAGAGAACACGATTTTGTAGATCTCGCTGTAGTTTTCCACGAAATGCACTTCCAGCCCTTCGGTGATGTACGCGGCCAGGTCCGAAAAGTCCTTTCTGTTTTCTGCAGGCAGGATGATGCAGGTCACACCAGCTCTCTTCGCCTGCCGGAGGAATTCAAACATGTTAGCATATATATATATATATATATATATGAAAAACATATATACATTTATATACACCTATTGTCATTCGCATACATTCTTAGACTATTAACCATACAAATATACATTTAATTCATTTACACTGCCAGTCAAGTTTTTGAACAGTAAGATTTTTAATGTTTTTTTAAGAAGTCTCTTCTGCTCACCAAGCCTGCATTTATTTGATCCAAAATACAGCAGAAGCAGTAAAATTCTGAAATGTTTTTATTATTTAAAGTAACTGCTTTCTATCTGAATATATAGTAAACTGTAATTTATTTCTGTGATCAAAGCTGTATTTTCAGCATCATTACTCCAGTCTTCAGTGTCACAGGATCCTTCAGAAATCATTCTAATATGCTGATTTGCTGCTCAATAAATTATTAATTATGCTGGAAACAGCAGAGTAGATTTTTTTCAGGTTTTCCTTCTTCTAGAAATAGAAAACTTTTGTAACATTATAAACGTCTTTATCATCACTTTTGATCAATTTGAAGCATCCTTTCTAAATAAAAGTATTAATTTCTATATTGTCTTTCCAAAAAAAAGAAAGAAAGTGAGCAGAAGAGAATTCTTTAAAAAAACATAAAAAATCTTACTGTTCAAAAACTTTTGACTGGTAGTGTACATTTAAAGAAAAACTCAATAGATAATAGTTGAAATGGGGCAAAGTTATATTAGCCAACATGTTTACCCCAATGAAACTATCGTATTTTAAAAGAACAAAATGCAGAAACCGGCAGCAACACATTTGTTTGGAAGTGAAAGTGTGGCTTCCCTCTCTGCTAGCTTACAGCGATGGTCTTTTCCTTGATTCCTCCAACAGGCAGGATCTTCCCGGTCAGGGACACTTCCCCCGTCATGGCCACGTTCTGGCGCGTTGGTGTGTTAGTGGCCAAGGACAGCAAAGCAGTCACAATAGTGCATCCGGCACTCGGCCCGTCTTTGGGAGTTGCACCCTAAACAGATTCCCAGCTTTAGTTATTACAAGAAACTAACTGAACCTTCTACCTCAGGGTTGTCATATTGCGCTCCTGGAGGGACACCTTCCTCCAACACACCTGAACAATGCAATCAAAGTCTTCGGGATTACTAGAAACTTCCAGGGATGTGTGTTGGAGCAGGTAGAAGCCAAACTCGGCCGAAGGGTGGCCCTCCAGGAGCAAAATTGGTAACTCTGGACAAGTGTAATCTTCACCTCAAGCATGGCTATTTAACACCTACTTGAACTCTCTATTCCAATCACCGTTGTCCAATCGTGCTCCTAGAGGCCCACCTTTCCTTAACACACCTAGGCACTTAAAGACTTCAGGATTGCTAGGCACATGTGTTTGAGCCAAACTCTGCAAGAAGATGGCCCTCCTGAAACAGAATTGGACAACTCTGGACAACTGCAATCGTCACCTCAGGCACATGGAGGTGTATGTGGGAGCCCACGAGGAAATCGTTGTCAGGTTGCTCCTTCATGAGGAATGAGCGCGCAAACGTGTACGCAATCTTGGCGCTTTCCTTCATCACGTCTCCCAGCTGCCCCGTGACCTCCAGTGATCCCTCTTTGGCTCCATCTTTCCCTTGCGGTTCTCTCGGTCGCCTCAGAGATGTCTCGATGAAGAGCGTCGAGCCACCTGTGGAGGAGAGTAGAGTTGTTCCTTTAAGGTTTTGTGGACTAAACATCTTTAGGAGTGTTTCCACCAAGTCTGGTGCGACTAAGCATTACGAAAGTTTGCTGGAAACTAGGGGCGTGCGATATATATCATCTGCGATAATATCGTAATTGTGGTTTTAGCACGTGCGATTTGACATTATCAAGTATATTGCAAAAACCAAACAAAACACACCTATGCATAAGTTACTTGATCTAGAAGGTTAGACTAGTGCGTATGCGCATTTAGAGTGCGTTCTTTCACTGCATGATTCAGTCTATTAAAACGTCTTTGAATAAAATAAACAAAAAGTTAATTTTAAGAGACTTACGTTTTAGACACCGTATTAACTGTTTTTGCTCTATTTCGCCAACAAAAATAACTCCAAACACAGCCACAGCACTGTTTTGCGTCTCTGAGCAACATGACGGTGTTTCGTTCCTGAATGAATCAACCGTTTAAATGATTTGGTTCAATCGCAATGACTCACTTATTAACAATGACTTGCTGCCACCTACTGGCAGTTTTAATTTCACATTAAAAGTATCTTTATGTTTAAAATGTTAAAACAATATTTATGTATTTGTAACTGAGCTGCAATAAAGTGTGTAAACACACAAACTGCATTTGAAGTGGCATTTATATGTTTCCTCTGCATTGCAAAGACGAATTTTCATTTGCTTAGTAACGATCCAAATGTCTTATTATTCTAACTGATTGATTAAATGTAAGAATTTGACTCAAATTTGACCACCACACAGAATATGAAAAATATCAAAAACTTTAAATCAGTAGTCGGTAGTCTTTAAGGTACCAGCACAATAACACACTCAGCAAAATATCGTCTAATTGTTGTTACTGATCAAATTCCCAAAAATATTGAGATATCATTTTTTTTGTCAATATCGCACACCCCTACTGGAAACTAGTGTACCAATTTTTGGCTTGAACGTTCTTGGTTGAACCCTTACCCATTGCTGTCCATGCCAGTCCCATGACAACTCCCGGCGGTGTGACGTCATACATTCGGTCCACAGTGAAGATGGGCTTCCCGACGTAATCCTGAAGGTTCTCCTGGGTGACGTTGACCTCTGTTTCCTCGCCGTTGACAATCCGGAACGCTACTTTCCGGAACACCTGCAAAGGCGCCCAACTTAGCTACACTTGCAGAACACTCATAAAGACAGTAGGTCCCTATGATTTCCGCGATGTGGAAAATGCGGACGGAATCGTGGAATCCGGACATAAAAACTAAAATTTACTGTATAATGCGGAATATCACGGAATTTGCCAAATTTGGATGAATAAATCAAAAGTAGGTCAGTACACTTAAATCAAAACGTGATATGGACTAGTATATGTGAATATTAAGCCACATTTAAATATGAATTCTGCGTGTGGGAATGAATAGCGCAGACGCGTGGTTTTGTTTACTACGCACGTAATGAAATGCGTGTGACGCTCGCTGTTTTCAGCCTCTGCCGCCTCAATATATGAGTACATGAACACATAAACAATCTCAAGAACTGCTCTGAGAGTCACTTCATGAGAATTTTAACGTTTATTTTGAGTAGAACTATCGTCATATCAAATACAAACAGAAACCTAAAGGTTTTCACAGCAATCCGTCAAAATAAATGTTTGGTTTAACTTGAAGAAAATGTGACAGAAATATATTACTTAATGTAGTGACAGTACTACTACTACTGATCTGAACGGAAACAGCGTAGCTGCGTGGCGCAGCTGACACAGAACAGCATACGTTTACGTCCAGCGGATATTCTCCAAAATGGCACCAGGGTGATGCAGAGGAGACGTGAGAGCTTGTTTCTGGACTTGGGAACATTTCAGTTGCGTTGCTGTCTATGGCAGGGTCAGACAGCTCTCAGATTCCATCAAAAATATCTTAATTTGTGTTCCGAAGATGAACGAAGGTCTTACGGGTTTGAAACGACATGAGGGTGAGTAATTAATGACAGAATTTTCATTTTTGGGTGAACTAACCCTTTAAAAATGTAAGTTTCGTTAAAAATGTAATAAATTGCTGTTAAATTGTGTACTTTTCATGATATCAATTAATTAGACATGCATTTTGATTAATACAATTTAATTTAACCATTACAACAGACAAATTTAAATGGAAAAAACAGAATCCAGAAAAAATGGAAATGGAAAAATGGAATTTTGAAAAAATAAAGCGGAATTTGGGAAAAATGAAAACGGATTTCATAGATCCCTAAGATGGGTAAGAAGTTAGTCAAACCTTCTCGACTTGCTTCTGAAGGTTCCTGACACCGCTCTCCCGGCAGTACTGTCTGATGAGGACGCTCAGAGCCTCGGGGGTGATTTTTGCCTTCTGTTCATCCAAACCACATAGAGTTCGCAACTGGGGTACCAAGTATCTCTATGGTGGTTATAAAGACCAGGAAAAGAACTGAGTAAAGTCTAACTGTTGTGCCACCATCAATGCATCAAATCAAACTGATTCTTCGGAAGTGACTTCCAGTTAGAGGGACAATCCCCCTGAAGCAACTTGGTGTTTAATGGTCATGGCTCATAGCTTTTTAACTATCGGTCTTGAACTAGCAACCTTCCGGTTGCCAGTTCTGAAGTTTATAGACTACGCCAGACCCAAAGTGTCAAGCTGACCCAAAAAGGACTAAGTCGAACTCTGATGCCAACTTCAATTCAAGCAGTGAAACAGTGAGACTTTGGAAGCGACTTACAGGGACAATTGCCCTTAATCGCAGCTTAAGGGAGTTAATTGACTAGCTCAAGATTCATGGCTCGCTAACTACCAGTCTTGAAACAGCAACATTCCGGTTAAAGTTTTACTGACTACAACATATCCAAACTGTAATGTTAACCCAAAAATGTGTTGTTGAGATTCATGAAAAGAGATCACCAAGTAAACGTACCTCCGCAATGGCCAGTTTCTCCTGAGCAACGTAACCTGATACGTTGATCATTTCCATTCGGTCTCTTAAGGGTTCGGGAATGGTGTCGAGAATATTGGCCGTACAAATGAAAAGCACCTGATGAAAACACCAATGAAGGCACAATGAAACCAGAGTCTCCTTCCACAGATGTGGATTTTCGCTAGTTTATACCTTAGACAGGTCCACGGGCACATCCAGGTAGTGGTCAAGAAAGTTAGCGTTCTGTTCTGGATCTAAAAGCTCAAGTAGTGCAGAAGATGGGTCACCCTGGTAACCTCGACCTATTTTGTCAACCTGCACAACAAAAAGATTAATAGAGTATCAGTCGTTCTGACATAAGTAAGAACCAAAGTTTTAATATTGGGTAGGGTTAAAGGGGTCATGAACATGAAACCAAAATTCCCTTGATCTTTTGATATATAAGAGGTCATTGTATTATAAAAACATCCTGTACGTTTCAGAACTCAAAACTTTCTCCTTAGTCTAAAAACAGCTTATATGGCAGTCTGCCAAAACGACAGCTTGTGGAATGTTCTACTCAATGATGTAATAGTGTGGATAAGCACTGCCTCCGCAGAAGATGATCAATGCCTGCTTCTACATCACTGCCTGTTTAGCCCTGCCCACTGATTCTACATCACTGCCTGTTTAGCCCCGCCCATCGATTCTACATCGTTGCCTGTTTAGCCCTGACCACCGATTCTACATCACTGTCTGTTTAGCCCCGCCCACCGATTCTACATCACTGTCTGTTTAGCCCCGCTTAACGATTCTACATCGTTGCCTGTTTAGCCCCGCCCACCGATTCTACATCACTGTCTGTTTAGCCCCGCCCACTGATTCTACATTGTTGCCTGTTTAGCCCCACCCAATGTTTTTACATCCCTGTCTGTTTAGCCCCACCCACAGATTCTACATCTTTGCCTGTTTAGCCCCACCCAATGATTTTACATCACTGTCTGTTTAGCCCCGCCCACCGATTCTACATCGTTGCCTGTTTAGCCCCGCCCACCGATTCTACATCACTGTCTGTTTAGCCCCGCCCACCGATTCTACATCGTTGCCTGTTTAGCCCCGCCCACCGATTCTACATCACTGTCTGTTTAGCCCCGCCCACCGATTCTACATCGTTGCCTGTTTAGCCCCAATGATTTTACATCAGTCTGTTTAGCCCCGCCCATTGGTTCACTCATGTAGTGTAAATAACGAGAGGTGAACGCAGGTCTACGCAGAAATCTAACGATAAAGATGGTCCGAATACAACAAGATGCTGCGCAGTGCCAAGCTGTGGAAAAACAGTGTTTGCGTTGCCTTCCTTCTGATCCCAACATTAGGAAAGAGTGGATGAACTTTATTTATAATGAAGATCCAGATCGCGTCAGTAAGAACTTGGTCCTTTGTTCACTTCATTTTACAGCGGATTCATTTACAAACAAGGCACAATTCGACAAGGGATTTTCAAAAAGATTGAAACTAAAAGACGATGCTGTGCGACTATATTGGATCCGAAAGTAATGTCGCAACACAAGTGTGAGTAGCTGTTTTCATTACATGATCACTATTGCTTTGTTTGTTATTACAGATCGTTTGATATGTGCTGAGTATTTATGTGTTTTTAAACTAAATCACAGCAGCGTCCATCTATGAAGGATGTAGGCTGTCAAACATACACAACTATTAGCCAATCATAGCAGTGGGCGTTTACTTTCGAGGCTACGATCTGCCACGCCTATTCAAACAGAGCGTTCTGATGAGGGGGGTTAAAAACAGGACAGAAAATAGCTTATTACTTCTAAATTATGATGTTTTTTGATGTAAAAATCTTGATAACATAAGTGGACCTCAAAGAACAGTACAAAATAAAAAACAAAGGCAGTTCATGACCCCTTTAAGATTAGATTTGCATGTCATACCTCGTCAATAAGGACCAATGGGTTTTCAGTCTTGGTTTTCTTTAGACATTGGATGATTTTTCCTGGCATTGCACCAACATATGTTCTCCTGCAATGTACAAACAAAAAAATGTACACTGAATGTCTGAAAATAAGTATTGACTCTACATAATGGTCATTTGCACATACCTGTGGCCTTTAATTTCCGCCACATCCGTCATGCCTCCCATGCTAAAACGGAAGTATTCGCGATTAAGTGCTCTGGCGATTGAGCGGGCGATACTGGTCTTTCCAACTCCAGGAGGCCCATAGAAACACAAGATCTTTCCCTGTGTGCTGCCTCTCAGCTGGCTTACGGCTATGAACTCCTGCATGAATGAACAATGACTGGGGTTAAAAGGATTTAGGAAGCAAATTTTTCCCATTCTCAAGGGGATAAAGGTTGAGGTACTCATGCTTGCGTTTTACCAGAATGCGTTTCTTTACGTCCTCCATTCCATAGTGGTCCTCTTCCAAAACCTCTTTGGCCTGACTCAACTCTAAGTTTTCCTTGCTGTTGGTGCCCCAAGGCATGGAGGTCAGCCAGTCTAAGTAGTTACGGGTAACGCTGGGGATTTTAAGAGGGAAAAAAGGAAGTCTGAATTAATAAAATAACACCTTGAGGAGATCAAGCTTCTTTGTGGAACATGGTTTGTTGCTGGTCTAAGGTAGTCAATCAGGTTAAAACCTGGTCAACAAGCTTGTAGTCCAACTAATCGGCCATATAGTGCAGCTTATAATCAGGTAGAATCCATGTACAACCATCTTAAGCTGGTTTTAGCTGGGTTTTGTCAACCTTGTTGCTAGTCTAAGGTGGTCTACCAAGTTTAAACCAAATCTAGCAACTCGTAGTCCAACTGATCAATCATCTAGAGTAGCTTGGATCAGCTAATGTGGTCTACTAGGTCCACCAGCTGGTAGTCCAATGGCTGAACCTTCTAGAGCAGTTTGGAACAGCTAAAAAACAGCTATAATCCATGTACAACAATCTTAAGTTGGTTTTTGCAGGGTTTTATTAACTTTGTTGCGGGTCTAAGGTGGTCTACCAGGCTAAAACCAGGTCAGCCAGCTTGTAGTCCAATTGATGAACCATTTAGTGCAGTTTGAAGTAGCTAAAAACCAGCTAGAATCCATGTACAACCATCTTAAGCTGGTTTTAGCTGGGTTTTGTCAACCTTGTTGATGGTCTAAGGTGGTCTACCAGGCTAAAACCAGGTCCAGCTTGTAGTCCAACCTTCTAAAGCAGCCAATAACCAGATAAAGTCCATGTACAACCATCTTAAGCTGGTTTTAGCTGGGTTTTCAGCACGGGCGACATTAGGGGGGGGGGTTAGGGGTTAATTTAGACAAATTGTTAGTCATGGAATCCCTGATGTCGGCCCCGCTGCACTTGGAGCGGTGTAAAATGAAAGGAAAGCCAAACAAATGAGCAACAGCATGTTAAAAAGCATCCTCGTTTGTTCCCTCACCTCCCTGCCGAGTCGCTGCTGTAGTTTACTCAGCTCGTATTCTTTCTTCAGCAGAGAAAGGGCTTTGTAGAGTCGTTTGGGAATCTGTAAAGACGGCTTTCATGTTAGATACTCATTAGCGTTCTGAGAAACTGTTTTAGGGGTCATAAACGTACGTTTGTTTCCTCCAGGACGTCCTGTAGCTCGTGCGATTCGGCCCCAGTCAGTGCCGCCCCCATGTCGCTCAGGTAGATGGGATTATCCACCACTCTCTGACCCGCCTGCATCATCTGGAGCACCGACTCTCTAGCAAACAAACGTGTTCATGAATAGAGGCTTAGAATGCCGTTTTGAACACCCTCTTTTATCTATCTTACCTGTACAGTGGATTCAGAGCGATAATGTCACGGATAGTCTTGACGATTTCAGCAGTCAGGGCCTGGTTTGAAACAACAGAGTGTATGAATTAATCTTGAAGAGGTGAAAATCATTTCCAACATCCTGGTAAATGCTTACTGAAACATAGTACCTTGAACAGGGATATTATCATGAACTAAACACATAAAATAAACGCTGACTAAAATAAAATAAAATATACTTAAACTTCAGCTGGTTCCTAAAGTCAAAATGGGGGGAAATGACAAAAAAAAAAAACTATATTGACATTTTAAAATAAAAATGCTGACTGAAATTTGTTGACGCAAATGTTGATATGAAATATTAAACACTAAACTTGTAAAAGGCAACAGTTCTCATTTTTGCTTAGTTTAAAGGGGTCATATGATGCTATTTTAAAGATCATTATTTTGTGTATTTGGTGTAACAGAATATGTTGACATGCTTTAATGTTCAAAAAACATTTTTCAAATACTGTACATTATTGTAGGTCCTCTATGCCCCGCCTCTCTCAAACGCTTCGTTTTCTACAAAGCCCCCTCCTTTGACAAGCGCAGTCCGCTCTGATTGGCCAGCTGACCCAGTGCATTCTGATTGGCCGAACACCACAAGCACTCGTCGGAAATGTAACGGCCCTTACCATAATCGCGAGCGTCAGCTTTCAAAATAAATGTAAAGACAGTAAATAATGTAATTAGTTTTACCATCAGTTCAAGCCCGAAAGGACAACAGAGTCGCGTGACAGACACAGTGAGGAAGCTGGTTTGTGTTTGCAGTACACAAGCCACGGTTAAGACAGCTGAAATCTGTCTTTCGCACTGACATGGCTGCATCAACACTACTGCTGTTCCTGAAACCACGCCTTCTTTCTTTGCGTGCACATTTGGGCGGCATTATGCAAATATTTCCACATAGTGAGGTAGATATGTGGGGGCGTGTTAGAACGAGCCGTTTTAGGTAAGCGTGGCTGACTCTTAACTTTTATAAAGAATATCTCTTTGGATTTGAGACTTTAGTCTTTGCAACTTTACAGATCTTCTTTATGCACCAAGAGCTTGTAACACTCCAAAGAGAAAGGAACAATTGAAATCGCATCATATGACCCCTTTAATTAATAAAATAACCAAAATGGAAATAAACACCATACAGACATTTTATAAAATAAAAAAAATGTTGACTGAAATAAAATGAAATATATATAACATATATATATATATATATATATATGTTTATTAATTATATATGGTTTATAAACATTATTTTAAACATTATGCACTTTTTTTAAATTATTTTATTACGCTTTGAAGAAACGTGCATAATATTTTGCTCGATGCACCCTCTTATGGCGTCAGGAGAGAAGCCAAAAGCTTTTTTCCCCCCCTAACTGAAATTATGCCTTTTAAATTCGAATATAATTCGAATTTTGATAATATTTAAGTAGAAAATTCAAATTTAGTTTTTCAGTCATTTTGACAGCCCTAATATATATAAAAGTTACCTTAAACTTCAGCTACTTGCTAAAGTTTGAAGTGCTAAAATAACTAGAACTGAAATAAAAAATATATTTTTAAAGTTATATTTTGAAATAAAATAAACATGGACTGAAATAAAATAAAAATATATAAAAAACTTGAACTTAAGGTAGCTGCTAAAGACAGCACGTGTTATTTTCATTTACAGTTGAAGTACTAAATAACTAACACCAAACCGAAATAAAACTATAGACATATTTAAAAACCTATTAATAACAATAATTATAAAAACACACTACAAAACCATTAAAACTTTAAAAAACAGAAACTATAAAAAATAAAATCTAATTCAAAATACTAATAAAAACTATAATGACACTAAACGGACACTGACCTTGACCTCTTCTGTGACCTGGAACTCCTCGTGGACCACGTTGTCCACCTCCACCAAGAGGACGCCGGACAGAGGAAGCGCCTCCACCACAAACTGGGCCTCCTGCACCTTCTCCTCCATCGGCTCCGGCGGCGACGCAGAGTCCTTGCGTGATCGCTTCTGCTTCCGCCGCTCAGCTTTCGGCTGCTCGCCCTCCTCCTGCAGCGACACCGGCTCCTCCGGCTCCACGTCCAGCTGCTTATTAATGCGGATTCTGGGAAACCATGGACAAAAAGGTCAGAAAACGTCCCTGAAACATGCATTCATCTCAATCAGTCCACAAAGAAGCAAAAGATGTTGCACATTTTTGTTGCAAAACAAATACATAAAAAAAAAAAAAAACTAATTTCCCTCTAGAGGTTTACGTTGGAACATGGAATTTAAATAAACTTAAATTTAAATAAAATTTTAAATTTACATTTAAATTTAAATAAACTGAAAAATATAATTTAATAAATAAACAAACGTTTAATTTACATTCATATTTAATAGTGCTGTCAAACGATTAATCGCATCCAAAATAAACGTTTTTGTTTACATAATGTGTGTGAACTCTGTAAATTTATATATATATATACACACATATAATTACATACACATGCATGTATATTTAAAAAAAAATGACATGTATGTATTATTATTTATTCAAAGGTCACAGCTTCCTCATACTGCACTGAAATAATTTACCTAATTATTTTGAGTAATAAAAACGAGCTGGCAATCCTTTCTGTAAAGGTCATGTGACGGTCGGATCATCACCTTCTGTGTCCCATCACAATCATGCGCAGTCTGTCTCCGAGGTCCTGCATCTCGTGGATCTGCACAAACGTCCCGGTGTGATAAACCGCATCCAGACTGTCCACCACATCCGACTCGTTACTGACCGACACACACACCACAATCAACACAATACAGTCTGATCATCCTGACGTTTAAGCATTGCATGATCACTTACTTGTCATCTTTCTTCAAGAAAACACCAGCATACGGCTGAGCGAGACGCACTTTCTGCCTCAACAGGTCCATGAGCTGCTTGTTTTTGACCTAAAGATGCCAAAATATTAGCTTGTGTGGATTTATTCAACATTAAACATTTAAAAAGTTTAAAAATATAAAGCTATCTTTAAACGAATCAATAAAACCTAAAATAATCGGTAATATTTAGATCATTTTATGTCAGTATCTATTCTGTTATAAAGAAAAATCGTATAAAGAGACCAAAGCTTGATCCAGCTCAGGACTGTTTTGATTATAGTTCATACAAAAAGAAAACATCTTGTAGCTTGATTTCGTTTCTTATCCATATGACTTACAAAAGATGTTAGGCAGAATTATGTGTCTTTTTCATATAGCTAATTAAATGGTGTTTGAGAGCGTTTCTCCGTCTGTCATCTGGTTTTGTGTGCCAAATATATTTATTTGTATGTAATAATTATAATTTCATAATACGATTTTCAAAAGCTGAAGTTATTGCCTTTATTTATTTGTTAGAATATGTATAACTCAATATTTGAACTAATTGCAAAAGCTGAATTATCAATCGAAGTCTACCGATTAATCGGCGAAATAGTCGACGATTAATCGTTCTAATGATCGATTAATCTGTCGATTGCAGCCCTAATACTCAACGAATATAAAAACTTTAAAAAATATTTTATTTTATATTTTGTCTAAAGGTTCAATAAACTGTTACATTTCCAAAAATAAATAAATAATTTAAAATATATATATATATAATGTAAATTTTGTAAATAATTTTTCTGACTATTATTTTATATGTCAGGCTTTCCAGGGTT